CGGCTAGTATTCGCTTCAGATTCGGCTGATTCAGGGGCCAGCAATTCAATTCGGTGATTTGAATCACTGTCCCGAATTGATTCAGCCAAATCTGATTTGGAGAATTGGCTGCTGCTGAATTTCCAAATCATCCAGGCCCATTCATCGCCCACTCTCCCAGCCCCGCAATGGCTGCCCTGCCTGTCCCAGCTCCCAGCACTTTGAAAAAAAAAAGCCCCGACTCACCAGGTGCTGCTGGGCAGGGGGTGATCCTTGCTACCCCCTGCTGCTCCATGCTGCATGCAGGGCTCTGCATGAGCCCCCCTGACTCCCCACCACTGTCCCAGCCCCCCCCCATGGCTTCCTTGCCCACCCCAGCTCCAGCCCTTTAAGGAAAAAAAAACAAAGAACCCTGCACTCACCAGTTCCTGCCCAGCAAGGGGTGATCCCTGCTGCCCCATGCCACAGGGGTCTCTTCCATGAGCCCCCCCCCACAAGCTCTGAGGCCGCTGCAGGAGCCGGTGAGTCTAGGGGTTTTTTTGTTCATTTTTTTCCCTTAAAGGGCCAGAGCTGGGGTGGGCGGGGTAGCCGTGGGGGAGTTGGGGGTGATTGTACATAGCCACTGATGCAGCATGGGGCAGTGGGGGGGGCAGCAGGGGTCACGCCCCCATCCAGCAGCACCTGGTGAGTGGGGGCTTATTTTTAAAGCACCAGTAGCTGGGGCAAGTGGGGCAAGCATGGGGGGGGCTGGGGGAGCAGGCAGGATATGGGTCTGGCAAAGGTTTGCCATGGTTCTCCCCTCCCCCCCACCACTTACCGGCTCCAAGTCCAGCTCCAGCTCTCTACTGCAGCAGGCAGGGACTGCCCAAAATCACCAAAGCTCACTGAGTCTTTTCCGAAGATTCGGAGAGCTTCAGAATCGATTCAGACCTTTTTATTGGTCCCCTGATTTGATTCGGATTCAGAGATTCGGCCACTGAATCGGGCTGGGATCGCCTCCAAATCAAATCAGCACTCGAAGCTTCGCACAGCCCTAATACCTATCGGTTCTTGCACAAGGTTTACTCCATTTTTCAGTCAACATCACTGGTGACAGGTCACAAAACTACTGGGTTGCAACCATGGATTAGAAAGTCTCCACTGCGTAATAGGTTTCATAATACTGCATCTCAAAATGCTTTAATCAAGTAGAAAAAGCTATGATTTTACTCTTGATATCTTATCAGAGGAAGATTCTCTACTCCTCTAATATAGGAAATGTATTTTAGGAAAGAAAAAAGCTTTCAGCTGAGTGACTTACTACACTCAGTGGGTAAGTTTTCATAGCTCTATGGACTTCAACTGAGTAACAGTTTGCACAGTTCTGAGGGTCTGAGACCCTTATGGAAGGAAACCTCTCTGTTCAAACAGGGAACACACTTTACCAGATTTTTTTTGTGTGTGTTCAGTTTGGCTCTCCTGGTGCTGCATATAGATTCTGGCCACTCTTAGATTCTGACCTCCCATATGAAAAGCATTACTGTCTCATACCTGAGGCAGAGTCCAACAACTGCTAATCCTTTTTAGACTATGTTCAGTGATTTTTGCATGTCAAAGATTGCTTGGTTTTATAACAACGTCAAGAATACCATCACTTCAACACATAAGGGGCATTGCTATACTACACTGCACTGCAGTCTACAGAAATACTCAAATGAGCTAGCTCAGGTATCAGCAGCAGTCTAGCTGTGGCAACCTGGAGCTCAGGGCAGATTAATTTACCCTATGTCTCAGGTATCTACACTACGCTGCCATATGCAGCATGGACAAACCCTGTAAGAGAACTGTGTAAAGAATTCAGATTTAGCATTACATAGAATAAATCTGAAATTCAGTTACTTTATTCTAAAGATATAGTAAAGCACCATTACCTGTATGATGTAAACTTCTTCCCTGGCATTATACCAGATTTCAAATTTCTTTGCATCACCTTTAACATTCTCTGTTATGCCAACAGCTGTCATCTGAAAAATTGAATGAACTGAAGTTAACATATTAAGGAAACAGTGGGAGCTGAAGATTAGGTCAAATTAACATAAGTACCACGCTGGGTGAGACCAATGCTCCAGTATCCCGTCCCCAACTGTGTAGGGATGGATACTATTGAGGGAGTGCATTGAATCAGATCCATCTAGACTAACCTATTCCCTATTCAATATTCTCCTAGGCATTCACCATTTTTTGGTTTAGAGATGCCAGAAGGAACATCTCCAATCATTTTATTCAATAGCCATTAATAGATCTATCGCTCATAAATTTATCCAGTCCGTTTTTTGAACCTGGCTGTGCCATCTGCCTCTACCACTTCCTGTGGCGATGAATTCCACAAGTTAAGTGTGCATTGCATAAAAAAGTACTTTCTCTTGTTAATTTTTAACCTGTCACCTAGTAATTAGAATGGGTTTCCCCTAGTTTTAGTATTCAGGGACTTAGTGAACAACTATTTCCTATCCACTTGGTTCATACCTTTCATGATTTTATAAACCTTTATTGTATTCCCCCCCTAAAACTTCTCCTTTCCAAACAGAAGGGTCCTAGGGCTTTTTCGGTATCTCCTGGTATTGCAACTGGCTCCATGCCCCAGATCATTTTAGTTGCTCTTCTCTGTACCATTTCTAGTTCCATTGCATCCTTTTTGAGATGTGGGGACCAGAAATGCATACAGAATTCAAGATGCGGGTGCACCATGGATTTGTGCAATAGCATGATTATGTCCTCTGTTTTGTTTTCAATTCCCTTGAATTGAAGGGGCCAGATGTGGAGCGAGGGGGTGGGGGGTGGGCACTTGGCTGGATGCGAAGCGGCGGCAGTGTGGGCAAGCTTCCCCCCATTCCTGGGATGTGGCAGCGGTGCACGGTGGTGGTGCACAGCACTCCATCCCCTCCCTATTCCCTGTCATTCTTGACAGGCAATTTGCTAGTAATATATATGGGCCATATGAGACCGCAAGGGACGTTATAGTCATAACCTATCATCAGTGGGTGAAAGTAATTTCCTGTATTATTGATGGCTTAATGTTAGTACTGTTTTATTTGGTTTGTTAAATATAGCTTACATTCAAGGAATGTTTATAACTGTAGGAAGGTGCCTTTTCATATCCCTCTCCATTTTCTTCTCGCTTTTTGCAGAACAACACTGCCTTCTCATGGAGGAACAGGTGTCGTTGCATTGGCTTGAATCGTGCCAAATCCTTCACCTTTGAGTGGCCCTTTTTGTGATCGGTCCATACGCTGAAAGATCCCTGCATTAACAGCTTACCCAGTTCATTGAGGTTTCCCTGAAACAAAAAACCAATAAAGGGTAGTGATTTAGACTCTAAAGAGACACAAACAACCTGAACACTACAATTCTAATGCAAAGCTTTGCCTTTTCAAGAAGTGCTGTTTTTCCAAGCAACCTTTCACATTGGTGGATTTGACTGTGTAGCACTGGGGGGGTCACTTTTTAAAAAATTTTTTTATTAATGGTTACTTATAGAGCATACCTGCTGCATTGCCCATGGAGCCACTCACACACCTGCTGTCCTATGGTGTTAATAAGGAACCAGAGTGGCAATTAAGAAGCAGGTAGTTGTATAGACAGAGCAGAAAAGGGAAGGAGTGCCCAGAAATAGTTGGAGTAATTCTCCTGGGAAACAGAAACCCCCAGTATAAATATCTTTAACCAAGAATTTCTATTTAAAATGGTAGTCAAAAAAATAGTTAATGAAAAAAATCAAGTTGAAAATGTACCCTTATACACAATTTATTTGCTTCATTAAATTGTGCAGCTGACAAGATTTTACACAAAGCTACAGTATGTAAGATGGTCCAAAGCAAGGGTTGGCAACATTTTTGGGCAGAGTGCCAAAAACACCTGCAATCTCAATTTGTAAGATGGTGGTGTGCCAGGGGCTGATGGCAGGGAAGCCATGAGAGGCTCAATTCTTGTTGTGGCATCACAGGTCCCTTCCCTGCTGTCTGCTCTGAGATGCACATGCCAAGCAAAATGCCTTTGGGTGCCATGCTCTGGAACCCATGCCAGGGGTTGCCTACCCCTGGTCCAAAGTAATAGTAATAAGACAGAATCAGTCTGGGACAGCAGCATTGCTTCTTATCTAAAACTTTAAATTAATCCTTTTCAATAAAAACAAACTGCCAAATTGTACGTACTTTCACATTAACAAAAACACATGTAATATGTCATACCCAAGTATGACAACAAACATTGAAGAGAATTAGATGAGAAAACAACGCAGACTCTTGAGATTATCCAAAAAACACCACACTTTTCATCTAAACCTCTATTTCAAAGGTTCAGCTACAATAAAAACATACAGGGTATTGCAATAGACTCAGTGGAGCATTGCTTTTAAAAATTCTTATTTTCCTGTTTGTGGTTTAAATTGTGTAATAAAGGAGATGCTGGCTTACTGTGCAACTTTACCAGTGGTATGGCTTTGTGAAAAATATACAAGACATGAGTTTTCCCTTTAATCTTACTAGGGCACACAGTTCAAGTATGTTAAAAGGAAAATGTTGTAAAATGCCATTCAAATCATTATATCCCATCCCACCCCCCCTTTAAAAAAAACTGTAAATATTAAATAACAAAACATTAGAAATAATAAAAACCCTACTGCTTACATCATAGCCAGTAATGGCAATCTGGTGCATGGAGTCATTGACTGCTTTGAGAATACCTAGTATGGAGGTTAATGCCTCCTGCAGATCTTCAGCACCTTCACAGTTTTTACTGTATTTCAGCATTTCCTGCGGTAAACACATAATGAGATGCTCAGTTTTGTAAACAGCAAAATCTGTCTGGTCACATGGAAAGCTTTTAGTTACAAATGCCATCTTACAGTTTTGAAAAGACCAGAGGAAAAAAGAGGCTAGAGGGAAAAACATTTCTAAAAAGCCATATGGAATGACAGATTAAGTATACAGTAGGGACTTGGGGTATGGTTCCCTGGGCAAGTTTCCCCAAGGTAAACTAGAATATGAATTTATGGCATATTAGCTACTCTACAGTATCTGCCCATGTGCAAGCTCTCACCCTGAAGTAAATACAAGGGAGCTTGACCTACTTTCGCTCTGGGGGTAAAACTACCTTGGCATTTTCCTTGGGGGTAAGATCAAGCTTATTGGCAGTTACTACAAAATAGAGAATGATGTGCTGTAAACTCAAACCCTACCTAACAGTAACTCACTTACAGAGCTATACCTTTGGAGGACTTCAAGTCCTACTCCTCTTGTTCTAATGACTGGCTTCAATCCACACCCATAAAGAACGTACAGTATAAACATTACTAAGTTAAAGCGTATAAGCACCAGGAAATTAAGTTTATAACTAGGGCCTGGTTTAAGTTGCCATTTCATTTTTTGGGTGAAAATTATGAAATCAAAGTGATTTTCATGAAAAACGTAATTTGCAATGAAATGCCATGATATGGCCACTTGCTGGGTTGTTGCAGCAAGTTCCCCAGCAGCTGGCCATATTGTGGCATTTTTTTGCAACAAGGTGGCTGC